CTCCTCAAGTAGTTCCTGCCCCTCCTTTCGAAATGCGAAAACACACGGGGCCGCACTTTCATACGGATTCACCGTTGGGAAATGGAATCAGGGACGGGCCGTTCCTGAATTTTAGCGTTAGCCACGTTATCATAGCTTATCATAGCCCTTGTACGACCCCACCTACCGTGAGTTTGTGACCTCATCCATGACGAAAGTTTCTTTCTTGGGGTGTTTCTTTTATGTACACTCTATTCCCCAAAACTGTTGAAAACGGTTGGTTTCCCTTTGGTTCCCTTTTGCCCAGCCCCTTCGAGGCTTGTTTTGACCCAAGCGTTCGGAGCTTTGCAGGCTACACCTCCGAGGCGGCGCGCGCCGCGCGGCTGCGGGCCTTCTTCCGCTTCGCGGAGCACTGCAAGGTGAAGTCACCAGCCACTCCGAGCGAAATCCGGGGATGGGCTTGGCTACAGATACAGCTTTGTCTGGGTATGGTGGGTATACTGGATGTTGGGCTGTATAGGGTATGATATGGCATTGTTGATGTTTCACCTTCAACTTTTGAAAGGGCCACCCAGCAGCCCAGTAGTTTCCAGTCTTGCAGGCAGATCAACTTGGGGTTGAGAGAGGAACATGCATGGTATTAAGCGACGATTGCACACAAACAACTATGGAGAACTATGGCGAACTTTATTCTTGAGAATGGTATGAACCAAACATGGAACATCATCGGTTCAATTGTTAAGCTGTATCACCGGTGAACCTTCAACATATGTTGTGGGAAATTGAGAGAACACTTTATGGCATGGCTCGCAGCACATTCATGGCATGCCGACAGGTCGACACGCAAGGAAAGCGGAAGCCAGCCAGCCGTTCCGACAGTGCAAACCAAACACTAGGGATACATGTGCATCTAACAGGTGTCACTTTTTTGCACCAGTTTTAGGCAAGCTGCTTTTGGCTCCCCTTTGAAAACGACCAGACATTTTTGCTTCACCCTGCAGTTCGAGCAAGGAATTTGGCACAGGTGTCCTTGCGGTAAGTTGCAAAGGAAAGCCACTGTCCCAATGTGTTCTGCGCGTGTCTTGCCTTACATGCATGCATGTGTTGTTATTCTCCTGGGTGCACGTTTTGTGTTTGCCATGCTCGGGGCATGAGTGGGTTGCATGCGGAGGAGGCTTTCAGCTCCGAATCCAAAGGTCGCCTGGTCGTTGGCGGCCCGATTTCACAAAAACTGCGGTCCAGGCCTTCGAACTCTTCCTCGATTTTGGGCTGCTGCCTTTGTTGGACCAGCAGGCGGCCAAACGGGTTCTGATCTGATTGTGGTTGCCTGTTCCGGGGAGGGTACTGGGTAGGCGGGGGTGCCGCAAAGCAGTGTAGACACCTTTGTTGGGGGAGCCTTTGGTCTGCACTGTTTGGAGGGGGGAGAAGTGGGTTAGCTTTTACCAACAACTTGAGTGTTTGATTCTTGCCACCCTAGTGACTGAGAGCAAGCGAGTGTTTGCTGTTGTGGAATGCAGGTATTGAAATGAAGGTACTATGGGGTATATTATGAGTTATCTTCGGGGGACTGTGTTGATGGATGGATTTGTGCGCACTTTTCATTCGTGGCTCTCGTGAGGTTCTGGTCTTGTTGAGTTCCTCCAGCAAGAGTTTAACAGCATAGCGTGTTCAAAACAAAACACCACCAGGTAGCCATTAACACTAGTTTCTTGCTTGGCATTCCAATGTCCACATTTTTTCTGGGAATATCTTTGCTTCTTGTGTTGGCGGGGTACAGCAACGGCTACGTTTGTCGCTCTTTGAGCACGTTTGGCTGTCAGCAAAACCTGGCACCTTTGCCACCAATCGTCGGCTGCATGTATGAGAGGATTTGTTTTTACTTCATGTGCTCTCTTGCTGCGTCAAAAGTGGGCTGTTGCAGTTGGGACCCTGTGCTTGTTCAATGATTTCCGGCGTTTGACCTGTGAGTTTCCATGGAGGACAAGGGGCTTCCCAAGCAAAATGTGCCCAAATGGATGCGGATCTGGGTGTGGGCCCACTTGCGGCTTCGAGCTTGGCTTGTCAGGTCTGGCTGCTGGCGCCGTCCTTGCGGGACCTGGTGCCGCCCTTGCTGCAGAGCTGCGGCTTGGCAAGGGTCGAAAAAGTCGACTGGGTGACTCCCATGACAAGGGGAAAAGGGTAACCGTGCTCCGATTCTTCCGCTTCTTCCGCGAAAAGAACCCAAAAAGAGCTTGCCCAAACTCTGCTGGTAGTACAATCATGGCATGTTTCAGGCGACTTTTGCTTCCCTCGAAACACACCACCCCCCAAACACACCTCCCAAAATGGTATGGCCCTAAGGTCCCTTCATCGCAAGGTCGGCATTCCGAGCTCGCTTGGGGGCAGAGCGACAGCACCCATGAAGGCTCCAGGGGGATTTGTTACTTCCGGCTTGCAAATTCTTGGGGAGTTAGTGGGCACACATGGCCACTACGTAAGGATTATATTCCCCGCTTTCTCCATACTGTAGACCTTGTTGGCCTTGCAGGCGAATCCTGCTCTGCGTTGGAGTCCCTGCTTTGCTGGCGCGCAATGCTGCTGCTCTTCTCTGCATTGCCGGAGCGGCTGGGGAGGTGCGAGCCCTTCCCCCCCGCCGCACCCAGCAAGCCGGTCTGATAGCGACTTCCCAGAAAGTTTGAACCATTCCTGGGGAAAATATGTATCAAGGCTCATGAGATGCGGCGCAAGAATGCAATTCCGGCAAGCAACTCGCCGGCCTTGGTCGGGCGATAGCATGCCCACAATGTGAAGCACTTCAGTAGTCATTCTGCAACAAACATGTCAGGTGCTGGCAAAAGACACATTCTGTGGCTTCCCTTAAAGGGCCAGGGCCACGGGTTGTTTCAGCAACACTTGCACTCGCGAATGGTCATAATGCGCCTTTCCTTGGGCTTAGGGATGGTCAGTGACCAAAGGCATTTTCGACAGCCAGCACAAGGATGCCACTGAGGCATGGGGTGACAGCAATTCTGTTTCTGCTGGTTTTCCTCCCCAGCAGGAAAGCTCACGCACTCATGCGGCATGTGCGGAGGTACTTTCAGGACCTTCTGCTCCGTGCTGCCTTTGGATATCTCACCTTCCTGGCATCTGAGCCGCCAGAAGGTCTGGAGGACAGCCCAGGAGGCGGGCGGAGTTCTATGTTTGTCGCTCGGAGGCTCAGTTTGGATGCTGTTTATTGACATCAAGGAATGAACGACATGGATGGACAGGCCAGGTGGGTTAATGCTTGCCTGTGGGAGTACCATTGAGTTTGGTTCCTGAACGTCGGCCGCATGGGATGAGGATCCTTCACACGGTCCAGGGCGTGCTCAAAAGGTTTATTGAGTTTCTTGGAATTATTCAACAAAAAGGCACGTCCTTTTGAGTCAGCCCCACTTTCCATGGCCGGCGCTGCAGGCTTTCGGTCCCCGGTGGTTGCCGCCATGACATCCTCGGAGTGGCAGGAGGCCAGGGCATGGGCAGAGAAATCCGGACCCTGTCAGAAAATTTGCTCGGCTACGAGGGCAGGACAGGAAAGATCCTGCATTCCTTGACATAGTTAAGCAGAAACATGTTGCTGCAAACCTTGCCTCGAATGCGGCTGAGCCAAGATCAAACTCGCGTTCCCAGGCTAAGGGCGCAGCGCTTGACACATGCATGCTTGTTCCTTTGGGCTCAGGTGGTCGAGCGGCGGAGTGAGCTGAGAGACGTTCTAGAGGCGATCCTGCAGATGTTGGCGCAACAGGCGCCCGAGCGCTTCGAGGCGCCACTCGGAGACACTTGAACGGGGGCGGGAGGGGGGGGGGGGCGGGGGTGGCCTCCGCCAGGTCGGCTTAGCTGAGGGACTCACTGATACCTGACCTTCCATGTTGCTCACTTTGAGGGGCTCTAAGAAGTTTGCCTGCTTGCTTCTGAGAACCATTGGAAATGAGCGGAAGCATTGAGTTGGCTGGGTTTGACCTGGAAAATGATGAGCAGAAGCCGGCGGAACATGAGTGGAATTCAGTAGACAATGAGCGGAAAGCAGCCCACACACACACACAGAGAGCATGTTTGTCTTCATCAAGCGTGCCGATCAAGCGTGCCGTGTTTGTTTTTGAAATACGCGCTTTAGCCCAGGCGGGCATGTCTTGGTTCCATCCGGAAAATCAACAAAATTGTGTGCGTGGAAGGTTTTGGTACGGGTTTGTCTTCAAAGTTTGGGGATGACGGACATGGTTGGCGTCCCTGTCCGACCCAAGCGCGAATCCATGAGTTCTAGACCCAGCCGAGGACTTTGGCGGAGTTGAACACTGGTGCTATTCTTCCACCAGTGACCGCGGCAACTGAAGCCATGTGTCCGCAGCTGCAGGGGTTCGTGAGGTTTGCCAAAGAAGCAACCTCCGCATCGAGTGAAAAAGAGCAGGCCCGTTGCCAGAGCTCAGGCATGTGAAGGCTAGCTGCGTGCAGCTGGCCGCAACAACGTGGCACACGAAGAGGGGTACATACATACATTCGGGCGCACCCTCAATGTTCTGGCAGCTGGTAAGCCAAACATCCGACTGTCTTGAACAATGGGAATTCGGGGTGCGCCTTGTGGCAGTTTGGGCATTTTGGGATAAACCAAGAAATCCGCAATGCACCACCTTCCCCCTAAATCGACAATTGCTCTTCGAACAACAAGCGATACCGAAAACGAACGGTTGCTCCGAGCCTCATGATCAAACAGGGCCTTCGATTTACCGGCGAAATGTCTGACCTGGTGCCGAGTTCGGAGAAACACTGCAAGCCACGGGCAGCCAGATGAACATCGAGTCCCACAAACTCGGAAGTGTGGAGGAATCTCCTTTCGGGGGACTCGGGGGACCTCTTCTTTCGGCTCATGTTTCGGTGAGCGCTTAACACGTCCGGTTTTGGGTTGCCCTGCAGGAAGGCAGAAGGGTTTAACTCTGAACCATGTGACGCAGACACAAATTTGGGCTTGAGGTAACCGAAAAATGAAGCCCAGACATAGCGCGGGCCAGGTGTTGCAAGACTTCCAGAGGCACTGCGCCGTTAACGGCATGCTCTTCGCCTCAGTGCCGGCCGGGCCCGGCAGCAGCGGGGGGCCTTTGCTCAACCGCCGCGGGGAATCCTGGCCACAAACGGGGGGGCCCTATAGGCCTAACTTCATTTGGTTGGTGGCTTTTTGAGGTTGGGAAGGGCACTCTTTGACCAATTTGTGTGAGCTTCCTTTTGGTGGCGTGGTTTAGCTCCAAGGGGAAATATGACCCAGAGCCGGCAGTGGCATCAGTAGGAACAACATGCTAGCCATTCCCTACCTCATAGAACCAGCCACTTCCAGCTCTAATCTTTTTTGGGCTGCTACAAGGGGACCTACTTCTTTTCCTTCTGAGATTTATGGCTGTCCCTCAGCTGCATCCTGGCTTTTGGACCGATTCTCAGACCATTCTTCATTCAGGCTTGTACCCGGTGGGTTTTCTGCTAAAGCAAGCTCTTTTTTCTACCAGATCCTGGCATTTTACTGTGGTCCTTATTTTGCCCGACATTAGGCCTTTTGGAGGCTCAAAAGAGCAGAAGAAACCAGTGCTTCGTTGGGTGCCCGGCAATTGGCTTGTACGGAGTCAGGGCCGGGTTCAAATCCACTGCGATCAATATTCCTGGCCCCCAAATGACCATGGGTATCTTTTCCCATTGTGTGGTTTTTCCCAATGGTCATCCCCATGTTCATCGGACCGTTTGATCAACCCCCACACGCCTAGCCGTTTTCAGCCGCGCCTCGGATCGAGCGATTCCCAGGAAGTGGTGGGGGTGACCACCTGGCAGTTCCGCAGCACACCGCTGGTCACCGCGGCGGTGAGCGCGCAGACGTTGCACCAGGCAGCGGTGGTCTTTAAACGAAACCCTGTTGCCTTCCCTCATAATGAGAACCTGCACAGTGCACCTTTTGGTTCTCGTTTTGTTGGGTTTGACTTCCTTTTGCGGACCCTCTTGGTAATTGGAGCCCTTTCCAGACGCACCATTCAAGAAGGGGTGCTCCATCTTTCGGTTTTCCGATGGACTCCACAAAGGGGATCTCCCAAGAGGAAATGTCTTTGCAAGCAATGGGAACCAGAGAAGAGTAGCTTCACAATGGACACACCCCCTTGGGCAACCCTCGCAGTTTCTCATTGGCGCCCGTTTCTTCCTTTGTGTTGCCTTCCCACCAGAAATTGGATTTTTTAGTGACTTTTCTCCGGGTTTTCCACCTCGATTTGTCTCCAAGTCGGGGGGCCCCTGGAAGCAGTGCTCGTCAGTCGCTTGCTCAGGTGCTGCCGCAGCTGAGGAGCGAGGGCCACTTCCAGGAGCGATCCATAGGCAGGGCACGGGCAGCAAAAAGGCGGGAAGACGTAAGTGTCAAAGTAGGATTCCGGAACGCCCACCATGGATTTCGGATTCCTTTTCCCCTCTCAGCCAAGGTGTCAACAGGTGCGCTCAATCCACATGCCACCTTGAAAGGGGAGGTAAATCCAAAGAACATGTTCTTGACAAAGGGGGGAGGACTGGGGAGGAGGAGCAGGGAGAAGGACGTTCTGACCTGTTCTACCGGGAAACAGCCCCAACCCCATACTGGCTTGTCCGTTCTGTCCACAAAGGACAATGGTGAGAGGGCGGAAAACACGCAACTCTTAAAGCGGAATGCAATCGAAAGATATTGTTTAATCGATGTGTTTCTTCTCATGCCTTTGTTTGAGCATGAGGGGAGGGGTAGGGGCAGGGGATGCGGAAGACGGGACCAGATGGGCGTGCCAAAGCCTATGCTGTCTCCGCCAGGTTTTGCAAAAACGCAAGGTGCTCCTGAAAGTTGACTGGCGGTTGCCGCATTGCTTTGTAGACAAGATTATGACCGATACTTGCAAGACGTAGAATGTACCAACGTCCTGGGAAAGGGTGGCTGGACCACTGCTTGTTTGGACCTTGGCATCCTCACCAACAGAAGAGAACATAGGTGAGTGGCTGGTCCGCTTGAAGTTTTGCTTCGCTAACGTGCGCCAGCCATGCGTGTGACACGGTGTGCACATATGTGAGCACAGTGTGCTTCTCAGTGCACGGATGTCGACCTCATGTTCTGCAGCTTGAACTCAGCCTTCAACTATGATTCCTTTCATTTCATTTCCTTGTCCGCAACTTGGCGTTCCTGCTTCCCGATTGTTGCAAGTAAACTAGCCATGAAAGACTGATAGACTAGAGTATACGATCAAGTCCTATTTTTCCTGCTTGCCAGCAACAGGCAACGGCTCCGCCCCGCTTGCGCCTCAGGGCTTGAGGGGCGCCTGGGCGCTGCAAGGCTGCAGCTGCCGGCGAAGACGAATGCGGAGGGGTTGGGAGGGGCGAGATCTGGGGCGTGGGATGGTGATTGCAACATCTTTCCAACTGGACCCGACACTACCTTTCACCCCCACCCAACATGGCAGCCAATGAGCCCCGTTGTGGAAACGTCCTTGAGCCTTGCGTGTGTATGCATCTGCCGGATCAAGGGGCTTGTCAACTAGAGTAGGAAAAGGGCGCGAGCCCCAGGGTATACTCGGTAGGCAGTTGAGCCCTTTGCTGCGCGGCGATCAAGTTGGTAGTGGAGCGAGCATCCAGTTCGCTGGAGATGGACAAGGGGAAGGACTCCTTGGCCATCAAGCGCTTCAGCGGGGACGGCAGTAAGAACTACCGTTGGTGGCGGCGCTGGAGCAGAGCATCATTGAAGCAACCACCCGCTTCAACCTCCACGCTGCCGCCCGGTATCCAAGGTGCTGTCCGCCCTTCCTCCAGGGTGTCGGATGTCACTTCAACCAAGCAACCAGCCTGAGTCCCTTCCCGCTTGGCATCGGCAAAAGCTGCATCTGTATGTAAGCGCACCTCAATTTGTCAATAGGCGCCGCGTGAATGACCCACTGAAGATCATCACGTTGGTTGTGGCCTCTTGACCACATGTGCTACCGTGCGTGCCTGCTCCCAGTGTAGGGTTTGGGCACTGTATTTGGATCCTTGCTACGTAGCTGAGGGTTCTGCATTTCTGCAAAGACTCCGTCTGACTGACAGTACTGCCTTGGTAACAGGCTAGAACCACACTGACACGGCTTTTAGCACAATGTATAATTTCTGACAATGGGCCTTCTTGCGGGGTGTAGGCGCGCGTTGCTTGGGGGAACGCTTGCCAGTACGTAAAAAACAATCAAGCTACATGCTCGATGACTGTAGATAAATGTGAGTTACATTTTGCCCCCCCTCATTTTCGAATTAGGGGATGCTTGACCCAGATGTTGCATTGGGGGGGGGCTCCCCCCTCTCTTGATCAAATGCCAGCTGCTGTGGGTGGCTTCTGGCGCGGGGCGCTTGGCCCGAAGCGGCACCATGGCTCGATGGCGCAAGCGGCCCAGGCAGCTTTTGTTCCAGGCTGGGGCCGCAAGGATGGAGGGAAACTTGTGTTGCGCAGGAAGAAACCTCCCAGTCTGCGAGGGCATTGCAAGAAACTTGTCCGAGCAGCGAGTCCGGAGCAGGCAAGTTGGCGGTGCAGGGTGTTGATTGCCCAACCAACATATGCAAAAACCCGGCAATTGTCCGCAAGCCCGAGCCAAGGCATTGCGCTGGGCACGATTCGCCGGGCGGCGCAGGCGAGTGACCTCATCCTCCTGGTCTCGCCCTGGGCGCCTTTGTCGGCGGCGCTGCCGATGGAGTATCGGGGCGCACTGGCAGCCGAGCGACGACCGTCGCGCTGGTGCGTGCCACAAGGCTTCTGCCGTGTGAGGGAGACTCGCCTCGACAGGATTTACTGCAAAGCCGTGCCGCCGCAGCCGCCGCTGTTCACGGTGAGTTGACTTTGCCTCGGCCAGCTTGCTTCCAGCGTTGCCCTTGGCCGGGCATCAGATTGTCCAGCTCTTGGTAGACAAGCGCAAAGGCCAGTGGCAGCTTCTTTGCCAAGCAGGGCCGAAACGGTCATGATTTCCAATCAAAGTTCGCTGTGCCTTTTCTTGAGGCAGGCGCGGCGTGCACAAGCGGGGGCCGGTGGAGCTCAGCCATCATTGGGCGCTTGCAGGGAAAGGTGCAAAAGCATAAGCTGGCCCCAGACCAGGTCGGCTGCGTGGCAAATTCCGAGGCTATGTCTCCAACATTCTTTATCGCCTGACGCTGTGGCTGCGGGGGGGCCAAGGGCCGGCGAGAGGCAAGGTTTGCCGCACTATTAATAGTGGCAGGAGCCCCTGGCTTTGCCGGGGAGGTGCGAGCCAAAACTGGAGCCGGAAAGGGTCCCTGCGCCCAATCAATAACAAAGCCACCAGTCGGTCCAAGCGCTCGGCTTTGCCACATCAGATCTTTGCTTGGCATGCGCGCATTTGGTGTACCCCCGTTTGGCGCACACCTGCTTGGCACGAGCTAGGCCCTGCGAGCAGGCCAAACCCTTGCTCACTCGAAACTAGGCGCCTTTCTCCCTCAGCTAGGTGTGTTGCAAAAACACAAGTCAGCGCGCAGGAAGGCAGCTTTCCCACACTGCATGCCCCCATGTAGGCTAAGCCCACCCGGTGTAAAGTTTTGCCTAAACCCACCCGGCGAGGACTTTTCTTAATATAATTTTGGTTGGTGTCGGACTTCGCTTTCGTCCTTGCCTCCCAGGCTGCATGCCGAAATTCTGACGATGACAGACGACACCCACGCTCGGAAAAGCAGCGCCTCAAGGTTCCCCAGGTTCTGTAAATAATTTTCTGCCAGGCAGAAGGTCTAGTCAGCGCAGAACTTGCCTTTGTCATATTTCCACTTGCGAGAAGGGAACGTCTCTCATATAACACTTGCATAGCCCGATCATGTCTTCCCTTTGCCCTCAGTCAACAGGTCATTCACGTGTGCTCCTAGAACACACCGTCAATTCCATGTGGCTGACTGCCGTTTCTCCTCTCCAGTAAAACTTATAAGAAAAGGTGCATGGATCCAACGCGGATTGTCGCCAGCCTTGCTCCTTCACAGTTCGAACGGATTTGCAAAACCAGAGTTGCGGTGAATCGTTGAAACCATACAGCGGCTAGACGGCCTTGCGCAGGATCTTTGGGTGTACCCCAAGAATCTCAACATGTTTCGGCTGTCTAAAATTCCGTCAACTCCATGTGGCTGACTGCCGTCTCTCCTCTCCAGTAAAACTTATAAGGAAAGGTGCATGGATCCAACGCGGATTGTCGCCAGCCTTGCTCCTTCACAGTTCGAACGGATTTGCAAAACCAGAGTTGCGGTGAATCGTTGAAACCATACAGCGGCTTTCTCGGCTGTCTAAAATTCAGGGGCCCCTGTTAGGTCGCCCAGAAAGCCCCTGTCGCATCACCCAACTGAAGTCGGAGCTGACAGCTTGCGCTGCAAAACATCCGTTGGAGGAAATGGCACTGCGCACCAGCTCAAAAAGGTCTGGGTCCTCCTCCACCTTCTCTGTGAGCACATATCTCGTTTTCTCCGGCTAGCTTTTCATGCGCCACATTATGGAACTCCTTCAAAGTACCAGCCTGGAGCTTCTGTAAACCGTCTGCTTGCTGACATTGCGTTTCCCGTAGATTCAACTGCTTGCCCCCATCCAACAGCACTTCTGTCTCCCCTCTTCCGGCGCCGGTTGTTCTGAAAAGGCTGCTGCTTGTTTTCCTATAAACACTGTACCTTGCGGTTGCGACGGTGGCTGTCTGGTTGCTGGAGCCGGTCATGATGGCAGAACGATCTGAGCCGCGACTTGCTGCCCTTCCAACCGTGGTTGCTTGAGCTCTCTTTCACCAGTTGCTCGATCCCTGCGTCCAACGGGAATGCCATCCAACACATCAGCTTGGTCAATAAGCAGGTCGTTGTGCTTCGACTGTCTGCCCCGGCCGATTGTCTGATTGTCGGATCTGCCTGCGGACTCTCAGGAGGCACGGCGGGTCGGATCCCGGAAGATAATCTGCGCTTGTAGTATCCAGGAAGATTTTCGGACAACTCCCCCGCAACTTCTTCTTATAAGTTTGCTGCAGCCAACCTCAAATCCCTCAACAAACACCTATCTGCTTCGCGCTCCCCCAGAATCCGCAACCGCAACTGCTCCGGTGAACACTTGATGAACGCGGATGCACGATCCAGGCATTGCAACCCAGAAATTGCCACACAATAGAACCGGGGCCACATCCACATTTCTTCAGCGATCCCGTGTCCCAGTCTCCAGACGGCAAGTTGGTCCCCACCCCATGGCCCACTGTTCAGAGCAACCCGGGCTGCCTTGCAATTGAATGGCTGCCTCGAGGACTGCTTTTCGGGCATGCCGCACCAGATGTGCCCGGGCTTTTTCCGCATCCTCCATTGGCTATCGGGTTATGTCGTCTCCCGACACTCAACTGGAGCCCGGCCCAGCACCAGTTGATATGGAATGTGGCCCGCTCGCCGGAGTAGCGTGTTCTTCGCCTCAACCGTGCAGTCAACACATTCCACCTGGTCAGGTCAATCACTTTGATCAACATCTTCGAGATGTTTGCCCTGAAGCGAAGCCGTGTTGTAACCCCGAACCTGAAGACCTGAGCCAGCTGGCGCTTTTCGTGTGCGTCGCACCACTTGCTCTGAATGAGCCGTGATCAGGCTCAGGCTTGCACTGGCACCGCCAAGCGCAGCTCGGCTACAACGGCGCCTGCTTTATGACAAAGCTTGCCGAGACTTCTTGGGAGCTTCTCAGGCATGCGCTAGCAGCTCGCCTGAGGGGCACGAATCAACTTAAACCGGAACCCTACACCTAAACCCCAAACGTAAATCTACACCCTAAACTTCAACCTAAAGCCTAAACCAAAAGCCTTCGCAGGATAATCAATATTAATGAATCCATGGTTTCTTGCATCAAGTCGACCTGTGGACAAGCAAAGAATGCACTTGTCGCACCTGGCTGGCGAGACCCAACAATCACCAGCAGGCAGCTCAAACATTGACATGTGCTCTGCCTTTCTAACCCATGGCGAGCAAACAGCTGGGAGCAAAAAGTGATTAGGGCATTTGTTTCATCAGACTCCCTGGTCATAGTTTGGGATTGTCACCAAAGTTGCGGTAACATGTTTGGCAACGTGGTGAGCAAGGCCACCATTCCGCCAGTCTTTTTTGCCTCCGCAAGACTGGCTGCTGGTCTTTGGGGGGATGGTTTGGGCGGTACTGCGCAATCCGACAGGAGCTGGGAATCGGCACGAGTGGCGTCAGGCAAGGCATGGCCATGATGCAGACATGGCTAGCCACAGTCGTTGTACGCAAACGGTTCGGTGTTTCAGGACCTACACCAGCTGATGTGTGCAATGTGTTTTTCAGGAAGAGAGCAGCTACCCCCCCCAAAGCCACCCCCCCCAAATGAGTACGCACCAACCCTGCGCAGCCAAGCAGCGTGAAGGGGAATATGCCTTATTAAGCCTTGTTAAGCCTTACTAAGCCTTGTTAAGCCTTATTAAGCCTTAATAAGCCTTATTTACTGGTTATCAAATGTGGCTTAATAAGGCTTAATAAAGCCCAAACAAGCCCTGCCATTTCGGCAGCCTAAAGGCCATGGTCACACCGCCACTGCTCTGCATGTGTAGCGCCATTTAGAGGCCCCCTCTTTTGAAAGGGGTGAGACCAGGCGCGGTCTCAAAAGAGGCCCCCGAAATCTTATTTTTTTTGGGGGGGGAGCTTCAAAATTTCGCTATTTGCACAATTCTGGAGCTACCCCCCAAAAAAATAGCACGATTTACAGGAGCCCCAAAAAAGTGCTGAAACAGGGCCCGAAAAGAAACCCTGAAGCCTGTGCGGCGCGTGCCCGGAACACGTGTCATCTCACTCTCTCATGATTCCTCAAACCTCAGTCAGTTGAGGGGGGGTAGCTCATCACTACCTGAGTTTTATTAAAGTCAGTTAGGTTTAGGGTAGGTGGTGGCATGGGGTGGGTTTGGTGCAGGCTATGGTTGCCTGCTTCTTCCAATGCCAGCGTTGCTGGCCTTCGATGGCAGCCGGGCATTGCATTGGGCCACAGGCTTGCGCAGGGTAAGCGCGCATAAGTCTCCGGACACCAGCCAGGCGAGCCACAATCAACACCAACCAAACGTAGCAAGGGGGTAAAGCCCGCGTACCCTTGAGGTTGTTTCCTGGGGATTTCTTCTGTCCAGGTTGCGAGATGCACTAAGTCAGCAAAGCAAGTGCAGATTCCACGCGTCTTACACGCTTGGAAGTTGAGGCTGGATGAAATCCTGGCCGTAGACAACCACCCGGTCACCTCCGTGGCGGACGTGTTGGAAGCCGTGCAGGAGGCGTTTGCTGACGACCTTGGTCCTGTGTTCCAGCGGCTTGAGTGGTCCCCTTCTCCGGTAATGCAATCGACCAGCAAAGACCGCAGGAAAAGGTCAGCCTCATAGGTTCCATGAGGTGGGGAGTGCAATGCCGCAACTTGAACGTCAGAAGCACCACAAGCTGAGGAGTTGTCCATTACATTTTTGAGCTGGTTGCCTATGGCCTCTTTGGCAAGTCGCCTCAAGCTTGGCCTCCAGTTTTCTATTGCCCGAAGTCGACCATTTGGCCGGTTTGCCCGATGTTGGTCCGCAATTGTCACAACGAGCAAAGTTGGGCAAGTGGGCCTTGAAGGAGCCACCCGGCCGCGTCCCGCCCTCCAGGCTCGCCTCGGCGACCAACTGCAACTGCGCCTGAAGCGCCCAGGGCGCCCAGTGCGAGACGTGGTGCTGAACGTCCCTGGGCGCACGCATAGATCTGCCTGCTTTATGGCCAGCTGAGAGTAAGCCACAAGGCTCCTTGCTTGGGGCGTCCTTAGTTTCAGCTTCGGAATCATATGTTAAAGGGTTCTGCGAAAGCCTGCTTAAGTGCGGTGGGTGTCAGGGGGCAAAAGAGGTCTTACTAGTACATATAAAAGTGTCACTGTGAAACAAGGGCTACTTGTGAGCAAGCCCGCAACCCCCCCCCCCCCGCAGGTCAGTTGGCAAATGGACCCGACAGGCTTCAGTCTGGGTCTAACAATTCCAGTTTTCCGCAAGAATGCTTAGGGGGTCTCCAAGATGAATGGCGCGGCTTGATTTGACTTTCCTGTTGATGGGTGATGTTCAGGGGGGAAGTTGGGAACCCAGCTTTCTGTGAGGTGTTATTGTTGGTTTAGCAATATATTTTTGGTTGGTGCTGGAAGCTAGCCGCAATGCACACATGGCCGAAGGTAGCCAGCCAGTGTTTTAGGAGCCCTTCCTTTTAGGGAGCACCTGTATTTGTTTAAAGCTATGACCTTGGAGGGTTGCGCAGTAGCCAAGCTAGCGCTCCAACGGAAAAGCAGTGAACGCCTCCTGGGTGCCAGTGACAGTGAGATGTTGTTGGCAGAGCAGCAAGAATCGCAAATAACTACCTGCCTCCAACGTTGCCATGGCACCTGACGGGCAAATGCCCCCTTCAAAAGGAGAACTATCTTCCTGGTAGCCTCGCACAGCTGCTATGTATGTAGGAGGGAGGGTTTTCGTTGAAGGTCAATCGTGTATTTGGCTTCATGATGCTTCATTGCACATTCCGAGGGCTCCGCCTAGCGGTGAGTAGCTGAGTAAGTGCGTGTTGGGAACTTGGCTTTGACACTGCAGGGTGCCCAATTTTCTCACGCCCACGCACAATAAACATACAATTTGTCGAGCCTTTTTCCCACAAATCCATTTGGACGGGAATAAGCTATTTGCCCCTTCATGGCCCAGCCGGTCATCTGCCTCTCTGAGAGGCTTTCCACTTCTCCGAAGCACCACTTTGAAGACAAATTTGAACATGCAACCTTCACACAGGCAGAGAGCGAGAGAGAGAACCTTTACACATGGTATCACATGGCCTATATAGCAGCGGTTTACCCATTAGTTTTCTTGGGCGTGCGGCCTGCGGGCAGAACCATCAAAGATTCTCGCCGAGGTGACCGCATCTCGCCGCCGCAAGGCGCGGGGCCGGCGGGCCATGCGCGTGGCGCTGCGCTCACTCGTGGCGGGCCGGATCCTGCGCCTGGGCAAAAGACGGGGAAGAGCACACAGGGTCCGCTGCCAGCATCGCTGGACTCAACTGACCGTTTTGCCCTCGTTGCTCTTTTGGATTTCCTTTGTTCCCCCCTTTCGCTAGCCAAGGGTATGTGAGCCAGCGAAGCATCCGCTTTTCCGAAGCTGAGGATCCCCTTCGAAATCAGGTTGGTTTTGGATTTATCCTTTCAGGATGCCTTGCACGGCGCTCTCTTGTTGCCAACCCACTGCAAAATGCGCCATGCGGCATGTGCCAACACTGCTGCACTGCTGTCTAATGGGCATAGGCAGTCAATCAAAGTATCCTGAGGGTTTGGTGAGGATATGATGCGGGTGGTAGTGGGGTAGGGGCGCCCTGAGTCTGAGCGAGGGGCATGTGCACTGACCCTTGGATATCGGAAGCCTGCTGTCCATCTGGAAAGGGCTTTGCTTGCTCCTTGTTTCAGTCTAAGCCATTCTGAGTGATGCCCTTGAACCATGGAGGCAGACTGGAGGCAAGTGTGCCCAGGTGTTGCTTGAAATGTTCACACGGTGCTTCGAGCGGCTCGAATGGAGTGATTTCCAGGTGGGGTGCCTATGACTCCATCCGGACACTGCAGAAGGCGGCGAGGGTTCGAAGACTTGCGGCCGTGCCAAAGGTTTTCTACAATAGCATTATCTCTCTTGCCCTGTGCATGTAAATGAAAGTGTTATACATATTTTGGCTTCACCGGCAAGCAGCCTGCCTGGCTTATGTATGTTTTTGACTGCGTGGCAATGTTGCTTGGACAGGTTTTCAGCCAGCACTTGGCGCCGGCCAAGGCAATGCACCTAACCACGGGGATGCACCGATGCATAGTGACTTCGTTGAGCACTCAAGCCATGCACATGAGATTGCGGCAATGGGCCATGGGGTCTCCCGACATCCCTCGAGCAGCTTTCACGACCTTGTGAAGGCCAAGCGTGTAATTTGTGCACAGGACCCAACTCATGACCCTGTTGGGCTTAGAGTCATTCGAAAGGAACGCCACTCAACTGGCTTGATTAGGACGTTCGCATGTGAATCGACTGGCCGCATCACGGAATGAAATCACATCGTTTGCCCATGCACAAAGCTTCCGCAGCCCCCGTAAATTCCACTACCAGATGGTAGTGGGTTTCCTTATTGCTGTGGTGCCCCACGGATTTGAGGAGTAGAGATCCTCTAGTTTGAACAACCCCGACTGGCCGCTTTCCCCACAGGACTCGGGCGCTGTCCTCACGGCTCTGCGAGAGCTCTCAGAGTCGGGGCTGAACCAGCAACTCGGGCTCAGGTCGCGGTCAAAGCGAAGGGACCCAGCTTGACCCAAAGACGGCCATGTGTGTCGTGTGTTTGTATATGTGTCGAATCCTGGAATTCCTTTTTTAGAAACCATGCAGGGGCGTAGAAATGTGAAGCTCAAAGTTCTTCCAGAACCATGCTCATTTGGCATCAGCAAAAAGGCTTGTTTGCCGGGACAGCCATTTTTTCGCCAAGCATGTTCAGTTGTTGCTGGTGGTTGGGTCCCAGTCGTCGAGTGTATTTGCCCTGCGCCTTGGCTGTTTGAATATTTTACGCTCCTTTGTGCATCGCCGGAATGTCCCAGTACTTGGCCTGACGATCCACACATGAGTCAAAGTTAAGTCAGAGGGATATGCCAACACAAGGTAAAACATGGAAAACAACACGCAGCCTCCAGCTTGCTCCGCAAAGGCGCCATGTGGAATGCGCACGTTTCCGTGGTACCTTCATGGAGGGTGCCCTTTAGAGTTGGTCTACATGGTCTGTGGAACTGCCCCCCCCCCCCTGAGCGCCCTTTCGCATCGATTGCTGAATCCTGCCAGCTTTGTCACTTGTGTTGCAAAGGAGTTTGCAAGCTTTACAATACTCTGTGGGTTTTCGGCTTCGACATTTTCCTGCGAGCGTAGGTTCCACTGGGAATGTGTCCCTTCCCGTGGCGGTTCAATTCCCGGTTCATTCGAGGAGCAACTGGGCAGATGGGCAGACTCAGATGCTGTTGGCTGCCGCCCGCTACATGTTCAGTTCGGCGCCTCGAGCGCACGTTTTGACTTGATGGGTGGTATACGCTTGGCCCGCTTTTGTGCGACCAAAGTTTGACTTCTGAGCAAGAGACGCTTACACTGGCGTGTGCAAAGGGGCCGATGTGGCAAAGACGTGAAGATTTCGCCAGCCACATGTTTGAAAGCACGTCTTTTGGGCCATACGCTTCCTTGCTTGGAAAACCTATCCTAGTTCCTTCTTAAAAGCATCAGACGATATTCAGGCATGTCTATTGCCAACGGTGGGGCGCATGTCTCAGCTGTCCCTATTCATGTTCAAATTTTGCCTGTGCCGTGCCCAGGTGGCGCCCACCAACGTGTGCCTTCCAGCACGTGGCAGCAGCAAGTGCGCAGCTCGCCTGTCCAAATCGAATCCACCTTTTGATGTTTTTCTCCCTCCCAAGTTTCTCTCCATGTTCTGCACAAAGCTATACATTTTCTGCCCCACAAGTTTGCCTTTCCTCCCGGGCTCCTTTTGGACAAGTACTTAGTGAGGTAGTGCACAGCGGCTCCACCTCGAAGACTTGGAAAAACGTCAAGAGCTTCGAGCTCTGCCGACTGCGCTGCAACTTCTTGCCGGCGGACACGTCCTCTTTCTGCTGCATGCACCTGCCGGACAAGAACACGTGCCACATGTTTTGGGGCAGCGGCTTAGCTAAACCTAGAGGTTTGTAACTGTTAAATCTTGTGCTGGCATTTTTTGGCATTTGCTTTGTCAGGTGTTGCGTGAAAGGCCTCACCTGAGAGGTACGCTTTGTCCCAGTTGGTTACCAAGATCGGCAACCCGACAAGTGTGTCAAGCATGACGTTTGACTGGTTGCAGCTTGGAGGAGCCACGGCCCATTTGGTGTGAGCCCTTCTGGCACCGCACCCGGTTCGATTTGTTGATTCCTCCAAGTAGAATGAAGCGCGGGGTGCTTCAATTCCTATCAGGGGAACCATGGGGAACCCTTGTGTTCAAGTCGTCCTTGGCGTCAAATGGCTTGTCCTCAGAATTGGAGGTGTCTACCATGTTCTTTGAATTTCTTTCACAACCAAAGCCCAAAATGGACCTTCCCACCCAAGGAATAGTCACATGATGGGCAGAATGACCCCAAAGCCAACAGAATATTCTTGGTGCAAGTCGTCCTTAGGCCAATCAAGTGAACCCAATCTTCGTTCCACCTGGGTGCTAAAGGCCCATGAATTCAATAAATTTGGCGTGTGTGTTTTCCAAAGGGAAGCAAGAAGGGCAGCGGCACTGGTACCAAGCCCAAACGGTTTGTTTGTTGTTCGATGTTTCGAACAATGACACGAAGAAGCACCCTCCAAGCGCTGCCTGTTCCCATCTCCAACTCAGATACTTTCTCACAAATTTTGAATATAGACGAATGGGTTGGATTTGTGTTTTCTTCTTTTTTTGTGTTGAGCCTTTAGTTCTTAGAGGCAATGGCACGGAGCCCGGCGCTGGCACCGCGGCGGTGTGCCGGCCCATGCCGGTGATGCGCACGGCGCAGGCCGGGGATTTGAAGGCTGAGGCTTCATGTGGGACATGGGAAGCTCACCAAACTTCCAGAAGCGGCAAACTCATGAGTTGTCCCATGTCCTCTTTGGGAAACAAGTAATCTTGATCACGGAGTCCGATGGCACCAGAGAACTTGGGGGTGTTTCAGGACAAACCATTTCGAAAAGAGGTAGTCTTTTAAAAAATCCCGGAATGTGAAACCTGGAGCCTCCACACCTTTCCCGTCACCACAATCAAGTAGCAACTAAATAGCATCGGAATCTACAGCTACTTCAGTCAGGCACCCGGCTATGTTTGTGAGCCAAGCCATCACAGAGCGGTGTGGCTAAGGCTGCTAAGGGCGCTTGTTGCAGGCAAATTCTCTCCAACCATTCTCAAACTTCCCCTTGGTCGCAAACGGAGTCATACACAGGGGGCTGGTCACAAACCGAGGCATACACCTGCTAAGGGGGGCTTGCCAACTCCAGGCGTCCAAGTAGGGCACTTGCACTCATTCTTACCACGTAGCGCTGACGCGCAGTCCAGCAGGAGCTGGGCCTCTTTGTGCGCTTGGCTTTGGCCATTCTGCGGGACTAGGATTCCGCGGCAGATGTGAAGCGCGGCGTTGACAGCAGCCAACCCTCATCCCAGATTCTTGTAGACGAGAAGCTTTCTTGTGCCTAGCCCCGTATGAAAAGGAAATCAATCGTAACGTATGCATAGCTGGTGCCAACGCAGGACATTTTAAGTTGCCAGTGGCTGGGTGGTTCAAAGATGCCGTGCCAGCAGCGTGTTCACATGTTGGTCCAGAACGGCCGGAGATTCCCGGGAAGAGCACGGCGCAAATAGTTGCAGCTGACCTTAACCCAGCCATGGCATTATGCAGGAATCGCCATGGCCTGGCCAGTTGGCACTCCTTGACTGGAGGCCCATGGCGCCAAAGTTGCGCCTCGATTGCGCCAGAGAAAGGTGTGATTGCACCATGTCCCTGGCAGAAGTGGCAGATGCCCTGCCCTCATACTCCACATGCTGGTTTTGTACCTTGCCCAAGGACGTTATGCTCAGCTCTAGGACATTCGGCCACCAAGAAAGGGCCCACTTGCGCAAGCTCTCCCATTTTCTTTGCAACTTCGCCGTTCGCCGCCTTGGCTCTGACTCTCGGGCTCCCAGAACTGAAAGACGGGCGCACACATGGCATTTTCCTTTTGCCGCATATTTTTTTGCCCAGTCAAAGCAGCCCGAGGCAAACCTTCAGCCAAGAACCCTAGAAGACTGCAGCGGTGCTTCGCCGCTGAGCTTTTGCGTGTGAGCTTTTACTCCCAGCCTCTCAGGGTGACCGCCTTGTGAAGATGGGCGCCCTAGCAGCAAAGGGTCGGGCCATTGACAGGTCCCTTATGCTGACAAGAAAGAGGCATTCAAAGCCGCAACGATTGAAATATCTTGAAATGGGCAGCTGGCTGTACATGCGAAGTGTGAGAATTTGAGCAGTTTGTTCCTGCGTGCAATTCTTGCATGGGGCTGGTCAAAGCCATTCATGCCGTGACTGTACAAGAACTGGGACACTGTCCGCAAACTGGGCTCAAGTATTCATGGCTCAAAAGTGTCTGATTCGGAGCTTACTTCTTAGTGGTTGTTGATGTGAACAAATGGCCTTACGCTTTTCACAGTGAATGCTTTGGCTGGTCCCGGGTCGCGTTGCCCCCTCCACCAAAAGCCTCAGGGCTCAGTAGCATTTTTTGAGCTTGAGTGTGTGTCAGGACGCAGCTCTCCCACATTTGGGTGGATGTTAACCTGTTTGGGAAAAACCTAGGGCCCCACCCACCGGGGTTTTCGGAAGGGCTCCAAGAGCCTGTCTGCGGCGTAGGGGGCCCAAGTTGTTTTTGTCTTATGTTGAGCCCTCCCTCTGGCACCTTGGGCCCAGGGAACACTGCGCAGTGCCGATGCAGCGAGAAGGATGAGGAACACGACGTGGATGGCGACGTCCTGGGCAACGCTACGGCGGCTCGGCCCCTTTTTGCGTGCCAGACGCTCTCCATTGAGTCATTGAGCGCTGGTTCAACACGAAGGGACAAAAACAATAAATAAGTTCAACCCTCGCTGTCGGGTGCAAGGGGATTCCCAAATGGGCTCGTGAAAGCCCTGCCATGCCTTGCTCTTCACCTATATTCAAGGTGCCCCTTATGAATCGTTGTTTGGTCGATTGGTTCTTCCAAGGATCTTTTATGTCAGCCACAATACTTCCACTGCTCTTGGTTGGATGCTTCGATATGTTAATGTGTTGCCCTTGCGGTGAGATATCAGCAGAAGATGGACTTTCGGCTGAGCTGCAAGCAGTTATGGCGTTAGGGTTTTGCAAAGTATCAGTCCACATCTTTTCCGGTTGCCTGCCGTCCAGCACTCGTCCTTGGGCATCAACCAACAGGGCCGTTTGTTCTACCGATCGGCAAAGCAAGCACGTCAATCATATGAAGCCCATTGTGCAGCGGTCAACAGGTGACCCCACCAGGCGGTGGCACACATATATATATATATATGTGTGTGTGTACATGTACTCATATATATATATATTTACATGCATACGTATCTTCAACTGTTGTTGTTTATGTGCATCATGTCCTGTTTTGTGCCTAATGGGTATTGATGCAGGGCTCCTAGTGGCTCCTTTGTTGCCCTTTTTCAACACATCGATGTTAGCAGTGAAGCAGCATCGTTTAACCCCAGGCGTTCTGTTTGTTCAGCCCTGTGAGTTCCTGCATTCCAAACCGCCGGCCCAGGTTTTCCTGAACGTAGCTTGGCTAGTGCTGGATTCCTGCCACCTTGGCGGCTTTTCGCTGCATTGCTTTGGTCCGAGATGGTTTGGTGTTTGATACCTGCCCCAAAGGGGCCCACAGCTCAGCAGTCCCTTGGACAGATCTGATAATAGCAGTTGAAGCTGTCTTCTGATATCATCAGGGGTGGAGAGCGAGAGAGGTGTGTGTGTGTGTGCGGTTATGCTTGTATGGAGGTGAACGGCGGTACGACCTTTTTGCATTTGGAGCCAGGTTTGTTCACAATGCAAATCCAATCGTGTTACTTCCCCATTTGGAGCAGACTTGGAGAGGGGCTATGGGGAGCAATTTCACACGAGCGCGGGTCAACCATCCTTGTAGCTTGTAGCAGGGTCCTTGTGATTTGTGATGGGTGATGGTGCCAAAGTGGTGACTACCTGCATGCCTTTCAAGCATCGATGCCATGTCAGGGCAGAACAGCGGTGCTCATTCTATTATTTTCTGGGCCTGCGGCCTCTGGCCGGCTACGCCTCTTTGAAGTTATACCATGTCATGTTTTTGTATGAGAAACGCATCCTGTGCTATGATATGGCTGGTTCCAACCCCAGATGATGCCGGGCATGCCAGCCTTCTGGGCCCCAGCCGGGCCCCAACCTAGAAGGCTGACATGGGGGTCGCGCGCGTGCGGCAGAAACAGCAGCCCAAAAAGAACAGCCCGCAAGCCAGCCCAGAAACGCACAAGCAACAACACACCGTAAATAGCAGCGTTTTGTGGCTGGGGTCGCGCGCGCGCGCCAAAAGGCCCGAAAACCAACGCGAAAAAAGCAAGGACCGCGCAGCACGCGAGCCAGCCACAGCAAAAGCAAAACGGACAGAACAACAGCCCACCGCTCAGCACAGCAGTTTTTGACGGTATTTGCAGCGTTTTGTAGAGCGAGGACCCAGCATCGCCGGCATGCCCGGCAGCGCTTGGCGCCAAAATGCGCGAAAATGAGCCTCGCTTATATCCCTCCGATACCTTCTAAAAAACAGTGCTTTTTGGGTTGAGAGGCTGCAGACCAAGCCCCGCTGAAGCATCACCCAGGCCCAACCCCACACCCTGATGATGTCAGCCACATGGCCTAAACCTTGCATATACGCGATGTTTTGCGAGGGTTTCCGACAGGCAAGCAAAACCGCAAGCCCGAGCTGGTGATGCAGAGGTGCCGGATTTAGGCAGCGCATCACGACCAAGTGGCGAGGGTCGGCGGCGCCAGGGTGCACCCCCTATAGCTAAAGCTAGCAGGCTAATTGCCTAGCGGCGACATGCTACCCCAGGAGGCGTAGCCGGATTTACACGCTGACGCGACACAGCCGGCCACCGGGCGCCCTGCCCTGCTCGTTGTATCATTTCCTTTTCCTTGAATTGCCGCTAGCTCCCGGGATTTGACCTTCATTTCCTTTGCATGTCATGTCCGGCAGTTTCCTGGCATTTCCCTTCACTTCCTTTCGCTTCATGTCCGTGTCAGCTCCCTGCATTTCCTTGAGCGCCCGCCCCTTCACTCGCACTCCTTTCCCTGAGTTCTTTTGGTTCCCTTCATTTCTCTTCAGTTTCTCTTCGTTTCCTATAATTGCCAACAATTTCTTTTCGTTCCCATCCTCCGGTTCCCTTCGCGTTCTGCCCTTTGCATTTTCCTGCATTTTGGTTTCTCTCCATTTCGTTCACTACCAGTCACTCCTGTTTCCCTTGCATTTCCCCTTCGCTTTCTGCAGTTTTCATCCCCTTGTTTCGCATCACCAGCATGCATAGCATCATCCGCATCATTTGTGATGATGCTGGCAATGCTGGGGGTGTTGTCCAGTATTAGGCACCCCCCGAAAACACTCGTTTTGAAGGTAAGCCCTCCTGGCTTGGCCTGCGGCCCGATCACGTCCGGTGGCCGGATTTTTGGGCTTACGCCTGACAGCCGGGCGCCCCGAAAAGCATCAGTTTTCCACGTGCTGTCATGATTTCCGCAACTGCGCGGCCTGGAGCCCACACACCAGCAAAAACACTCGGTTTTTCGACTGGTTCGCCAAAAACGCTGCCAGAAAGCGGGTTCGGCCGGGGAGAGGTGAGCCCTGCCTGCTAAGCAGGTTTCCACATTTTCCACGTTTGCGCCCGGCCTTGAATCCATACAAAACTATCGAAAACACTGTGTTTTTTCTGCGGTTCACTGAAAAGCCTACCAAAAATCGAGTTCGGCCGGGACCGTTGAAGCCTGCCTGCTCATCAGGTTTCCATATTTTCCACGTTTGCGCCCGACAAAAACCTTCAAACACACTGTGTTTTTGCACGTTCTCGGCAAAATTGGCCCGACTCAGGTGACAACATCCCAAGCATCCCCCGCATCACCGGCCTTATCCGCATCAATGTCCGCCATGGATGCGGACGATGCAGGTGGTATGCTCAACAAGTCGTCAAAAATCGCCTGAACAAATTCACAAATCCTTCGCCCCTTAGCAGTGAATGCAGCCTCCGTTCGACACGGAGTGAACGCGGAGTGAACCTAGAGTGAACCTAGAGTGAACCTAGAGTGAACCTAGAGTGGGTCGGCGGCAGGGGGCGCGAGCCTTATAACCTTCGGTTAGAGGGAACCGAAGGCCTCCGGGGAAACCACGGGCTCGGGGCGCCCGGATTTAAGGCCTGACAGCCGGGCGCCCCGAAAAGCGTCAGTGTTCCACGTGCTGTCATGATTTTCGCAACCACGCGGCCTAAACACTCGGTTTTTCGACTGGTTCGCCAAAAACGCTGCCAGAAAGCGGGTTCGGCCGGGGAGAGGTGAGCCCTGCCTGCTAAGCAGGTTTCCACATTTTCCACGTTTGCGCCCGGCCTTGAATCCATACAAAACTATCGAAAACACGGTGTTTTTTCTGCGGTTCACCGAAAAGCCTACCAAAAATCGAGTTCGGCCGGGACCGTTGAAGCCTGCCTGCTAAGCAGGTTTCCATATTTTCCACGTTTGCGCCCGCCAAAAACCTTCAAAACACTGTGTTTTTGCACGTTCTCGGCAAAATTGGCCGGACAACATCCCCAGCATCCCCCGCATCACCGGCCTTATCCGCATCAATGTCCGCCATGGATGCGGACGATGCAGGTGATATGCTCAACAAGTCGTCAAAAATCGCCTGAACAAATTCACAGATCCTTCGCCCCTTAGCAGTGAATGCAGCCTCCGTTCGACACGGAGTGAACGTGGAGTGAACCTAGAGTGAGCCTAGAGTGAACCTAGTGGGTCGGCGGCAGGGGGCGCGAGCCTTATAACCTTCGGTTAGAGGGAACCGAAGGCCCTCAGTGCAGGGCTGCGGGGTTTCGAATTCAGCCTCAGTTGCGGCGTCAGTCCCGGTCGATGGGGAAGGTGCGCGTTGTCCATGAGTAGGCCTGGATGCCATAGAGCGTGAGGAGTTCGTGTCACGAGCGCGACGAGCTCGTTTCTTGTCAGGAGGAGGAGGTGGAGCCCAATGGTCGGGAAATTGTTCACCGTGATCTTCGGGAAATTGTTCACCGTGATCTTCGGGAGGGGGGAGAAGAGGTGTTGGCGGTGAATTGGTTAAGTCCTCCACGGCGAGAGTCGATGGGGCTTCAGGCGCGAAGTCCGGACTCTTAGTGAACTCGCGAATGGTGGCGATGCCTTGCTGGGCAATGCCGAGGATGAGTTCAAAGTCTTGGAGCAGCTGGCGTGCTGCGTCAAGATCCATGGTCGCAAACGATTGTGTGTCAAACGGCTGCAGCTTGGAAACAGGTCATGTGAGAATCAAGAGTAAAAAGTGGGTCCTGCCGCAAACAATTGCGAAAGAGAAGGCCGGCGCGTTTCCCCTTCCTGAAAGGTGAAACCGTGTTGGTGGTACAACTTCATCAACACTGCGAGATCGTGATCTCTCTGAAACTCAGGAAAGGAAACCCGGCTGATCAGCGCACGTCTGGAGAGCTTCCTTGTGCAGCATTGGTGCGGCTGACTTAATGGACAGCATGTTGTGCTTCTCGTACGAAGGGATGAAAGAGATGGTGCCGCGCTCAAAGTCCAGTCGAAAAACCCAAGAAATCCAGGGCGCCCGGATTTACACGCTGACGCAACACAGCCGGTGGCCACCTTGCCCTGCCCGTTCTGTCACTTCCCTTTCCTGTAAGTCCGATTAGTAGATGTAAAGATTTTAAAATTCTAAAAACTTTGAGATTCTAAGGGTCTCAGATTTGAAGACTTTCGGAATTAAGGTGTCAATGGTTTAAGCATTAAGGTTTTAAGATTCAAAGATTTAAGGTTTTTGAAGGTTATAACAGCCAGGCCATTGCCCAGCCATTTTCCATCCATTATCAGATTTCGAAGGCTTTAAGATTTTATTTTTTGTGAGATTTTCAGATTTGGCGACTTTCGGAATTTAAGATTTTAAGATCTTAAGATGTCAAGACTTCAAAATTTCAAGATTAAGAGTTTAAGGAATTTAAAATATAGCCCGGATTGAAGGAATTTTATTATATTTTACTTGTTTATGAATTTAAGATTTGCAGATTGCAATAGTTCGAGATTTAAAGAATTTAAGTTTTTGAAGCTTTTAAGATTCTGAGATTTTGAGATTTTGAGAATTTAGGAATTTCATATTTTAAGATTTTAACATCTGAAGATTCAAAGACATGAGGGTTTTAAGAAGTCAAGATTCGAAGACTTTAGGACGTTCATATTTTCAGGCTGTAAGATTCTAACTTCTAAGGTTGTAATTTCAAGATCTTAAGGTTTCAAGATTTCAATATTTCAAGATTAAGAGTTTAAGGAATTTAAAATATAGCCCGGATTGAAGGAATGTAATATTTTAATAATTTAAGATTTTCAGATTTCAATTGTTCGAGGTTTAAAGAATTTAAGTTGTTAAAGCTTTTTAAGATTCTGAGATTTTAAGATTGTAAGACTTTAGGAATTTCATATTTTAAGAGTTTAAGATCTCAAGATTCTAAGACATAAGGTTTTTAAGATTTCAAGATTCGAAGACTTTAGGATGTTTTTATA